AATGAACCCTCCCTTTTCCTTCTTCCTTATCCACCATAAATGGTGGTTGCTCAGCCAAAATGGGCAACAACAAAAACTATATTCATGTAAAAATCTAAAAATCATTAATGTAAATAAAGGCTAAGGTCCACGAAATCTAATTAGGTATCGTATGTTAAATTTCATTTTAATACTATTTTTAGGTAAATATATCCTTATGTAATAAAATTGCAATTTATTAATAAATAAATAAATAAATAAATGAGATCTTCCTGATAGTATTTTTTGTCTAGAGATATTCCCGATTACTACTTTTCAAATTGTCACCCTGTATGTCCAACGTGGCCTGAACTGCAACATCACATTACCCCAAGGTGTTAATATGGGTTAGTTGGGTTGTTTCTAGTGACAGTGGCTTGAAATTTGCAATAATTAAGACTTATTTCGAAACACTTTTAAAATATTGGAGCATTACATAAAAACACCTTTGGATGATTTCCAGTGATAGTAGCTAACATTTGTAGCTATGAATTTAAAGTGGCTTAAACAGCCATTCAATTGAAAACTGGACAAAAACCAATTTTTTTGGGACACTCCCCAGCATTCTATTACAACAGTACCTACATCCAGCATACAAGCATTCTATTCTACATATATTTAGAACCCAGCATTCTATCTCACAACTAGTTTACATCCCCAGAATTTTCCTGGATCATTCATCCCTCACACAAATCATCTAGGTATACTTTCTTCGTTAACGCACTTTTGGAAAGCCAAGTAAAAAAAAAAAAAATATGATGAAAATAAGCACGAATGATTTTCTAAGAAAACTAATTTCTGGACACCCTGTATAATTTACTAATTGCCCATAGTTATAGAGAATCAAATGAATCACAATTTAAATTAAAAAAAAAAACATAAATAAGAAAATTGGTTGAGGTTTTATTTGGGATTGGATCGAAATAAAACAACAGAAGTCTGTTATTTCAGATTGTCGACGTTTCGCAATATATTATTGCATCTTCAGGACACTACAAAATGGTAAGACAATGTTATTGTGCAGAGTCCTAACAACTCCAGTTATGTTTATAGTATTGGGTACTTACATTTGAGATTGACTTTCTATGTCATAACATGAACAATATACGAAGTTGTTAGGTAGGTACAGATTCATAAGAGACGTTACATTCACATACATGGTACAGTTTAAAACTTATCAAAAAATATCACAAAAACGTTATAAAAATAATCACACATTAAAACTTAAAAAGTAAATGATTTTAAAATAAAATATATAAGACAGACACAGCCAGCTGTTACTATTACAATAATAAATTAAATAGTGTTATCGTTCGTGGGAGCAAACAAAGAAAAACCAAGTAGGGAATGGCATCCGAATCAAAAAACACTAATATGAAAGCTTTTTTGTGATGATTATTTTGTTGTTGATAAAATGTTAAAATAGGCGTTACTTAAATTTTGTATATCTGTTCTTTTATTGACGCAATTTTTATCTTTTTGTATTTCGATCATCTCAGCAATTAGTCTTTTTCTGTAGTTAAATTGTGTTTGTAATATTGTGGTGTTGTCAAAGTCGAAGTTATGTCCTGTCTCTAGTTTATGTTCTACTAATGCTGTTGGGTTAGTCTTCAAGAGAAAGTTTTTTTGGTCATTTTGGTGTTCCTTCAGTCTTTGTTTCAAATATCTACCAGTCTGTCCGATATAGTTTTTATTACATTGAGAGCAAGGAATATTGTACACCAAATTTGATTTTAATTCCTTTTTAGTCTTTGATTTGGTTTTCGAAAAAAAAATGCCTTTTTATGGTATTTTGGCACTTAAAGGTGATTTCGACTTTTTCTTCTTTCTTAGATTTATGGCCCTTGAATGTTCTTTTTATTCGTTCGGAAAGCTTTCCAATATAGGGGATTAATGAAACAAATAAAATTAATGAAATAAATAAGAAAGTTCTGGATTGTTCCAACTCAGACATTAGAAAAATCAAGGGTTGTTCATTCAAAATTCGATAAATACCAAATACCAAAAAATAATTGTTGGTACTACTACAACTACAAAAATCCAGTAGTCAATTATGGTACACTATGGGCACACGACGCAATAATCGGAAAAATCTTAACTTGTGTGAGAAAAAATCGATAACTCCCGGATGCGACTGGCGCGCGGTAGGTACTTATTCATCTATCGGCGATCCGTACTCGACTAAATCCGAATCTCAAAAAAAAGGTAAACAGATAAGGTAGGTAATAAAATATGTGTAAGTGTGATAGGTAAAAAAAACTAACTACTTAGTATAGTAGAACCCCGACATCAAAAATGTAAATCCCCTGTTTCTAGTTAGTAACAGGGCCGAATTAGTATTAAATTTTTCAAAAAAGTTTCAGCTTTGTTCCAACAAACCAGAAAACCGTACAATGTAGCGTCAAGATTCTGCGCAAAACCAAAAAATTCGTATACAGAGTGGCTCCGAAACCGTTCTTGGGACAGTTTTGGAACAGCCCTTATTGATTATAACTTTCAATTTTTGTCTATTCCAGCAGGCGCTAGGCTGTCTAGAATAATTCTGGAGGTTTAAAAATTGTTCAAAATGTCGCTGGAAAGTGTTCCAAATGGCTTATTGATGTTCTAAAGTGTTCTAACTTGGCTTGAAGACTTCTACAGCATTCTAGAAGTCTTGTGTGATTTCTAAATTGTTCTTATAGATTTTTAAGTAGTTTGAAGCCCTATTAAAGCTCCAATAAGTGTTGGTTCAAAATAATTCTAAAATTGAATCCTAATAGTTCTAAAATAACTCTGAAATTTCTTAATTAATTGTACTTCGATTTTTTTCAAGCAAATTAATAATAACTATATATCATTAGAAACCTGTACAAAATTGGTTGTTGTAGCTTGTAGAGTTTCCAAGACATTAAGCTTCAAAGTTGAAATTTAGTTCACATTTTGTCCAAAACTTCAAACTCAAAAACCGTAAATGTTAGCGATTTCAACTAAACACCATCTTGACGCTCTAACCAAGAGCTACAATTCCTGGAAATGTTGTTCCAAAACCGCTTTTGGTTACCGAGATATTTGAGATTGAAGATTTGCAAATAAAAATCCAAAGGGACCTACCCCCTTAGAAGAAAGTGCAAAAAAATTGAAAATTTGTTGTAGCCTGAATTTGATGAATGTAGCTACATTTTGGAAAGAAATTCAAGTATCTTCATCTGGTATTTCAACATTCGAAATATTTCTTATCCAATTATCTTATGTATTGATAAATAAGTTATGTTATTCTGTCTTTAGTTTATTGAATTTAGCGATGTTTCTTTTTTTAATAATTTTGAATTGTATTTCAAAATATAATGTTTGTTTATTTTTTAATTCACTTATTATGTTTAAAGCTAGTTTGTTGTTCAATTTGTTCTTCAAAACAATTAAACCCTTTTCTAATTTAGTTAAAGGTGAAATTGTAAGTAATATTTCTAAATTAATTGGTTTGTTATTTAATCTTTGACTAAACTCCATTACTTTTTGTCTGTGTCCTCCATTTATTTCTAAAAGCATTCCAATATTCTTAGTTCCATCTTGTATATGTCTTGGTATGATGCAATTTTGTCTGCATTAAATTAGAAATATTTTCCTGTTTTTGAAAGATGATATTTTGTTGTTCGTTTTTGCCCATTGCTTCAAAAGTGAAACAGTGTCCTCTCCATATTGATTTTTTATGGTTTGGCAAAATCCCATTCCTATTTAAAGAGTGTAGGTATTCGTGACACTTGCGTCTATATCTCAACGTGGCTCCTCCAATATGCGCGTGCGCCTACTTTGCACAAAAGATTTTTAGGTTAGATTTTCTTGTTTTGTTTTGATTTTGATCTTGTACGTTGTTGCCTAAGTTCCCTGTTCCCTGATTTTGTTTCTACTGACCCCTGCCCCTGAAATTTCTATTTACCCTGTTTAGGGTAATTTTTTAGTTAGCAAAAAATTAGCACAAGAAACCCAATCTCGCCCTTAACTATTTATATCTGTAATAAGTAAAACACAAAGGTATGTATTTGGTTAAAAATTTTATTTTGACACAGAAAAATCAAATCGCACCTGAAATAAAAAAGAGAGTACCTAATACAGGTGATCTGTGCTAATACTACAAGAGATTATAATAATGCATCGTTTTACTCTTTGTACTTTTTGCCTTTTTTAATGGCGCAAAATATGTTCTCTGGTGTTCAGCTTTTTTATTATGGCTACATTTGGTCTCAGGCACAATGCTGTGGATGGAATGGCGTTCAATTGCATTCATCCCTGATTTTTGAAACATATAATAGAGCCTCACTCTGACACTTATAGATATATCGGCAAGTAAGGTGGACATTTGCTCATTAACAGGTTTTCTTCTTGTTTCCTCCATCCTCCATCACATGACACGAATCAACAGATATGTAACTGAAAAAATCACCCTAAACGGGGGGATAGAAACTTCAGGGTCAGTATAGAAACAAAATTACGAAACTAGTAAAAAAGTACAAGATCAAAAGCAAGACAAAACAGGAAAACCTAACCTAAAAATCTTCTGTGGAAAGTACGCGCAAGCGCATACTGAAGGAGCCACGTTGAGATATAGACGCAAGTATTCGTGACTGGCCAATTATAAATAGAAGGTATTTTCTGGGGTATCAGTCTAAGGACTAAATACAATAGCACAAAAGTTTTAAGACTTTTATTTATCCCTTAGACTGATATCCCAGAAAAAACCTTCCATTTATAACTGGCCAGTCACGAATACCTACACTCTTTATATAAGATCTTAGCTATATCTCTCAAAGTTTTAATCCAGAATACAACGCATGAAGTAGCTAATTTCATAAAGATCAAAGTGCACCCTAGACATTTTTCACCAACATGGGTAACCATGTACTTCAAGCAAGGACGATAATGATTGAAATTTAATGACATAATCAAAAATTTCCATTGATTTATAGATTTAGCTATTTTGATATCTAATATTTAGTCTCAAGTAATAGACAGATACGAGCTTAGATAGTTAATTAGACAAAAAAAAAAAAACTTATATCAAATAACTCGTGATCAATAATATTGGTACTTACCTATATAAATGATTACTCCAACAAAGTAATCCATTTATTTAGATTTTTGGTGGACAATAAAATGAGAAGCCAAATTTTCGCCATCTTTTGCGCCTTATCTTTGGCCCAAGTAAGTGAAAGTGACTTTTAGTTTCTAGTCCTATAATAATTTATTATGTACACCATTTCTAGGCCCTTGTTATTCAAGCCAAACCCAATGATCTCCAAGCCGCTGAAGTTCGTGGTATTGCTGACGAAGCTGAGAAAGTCTTCAAAGAACTCATGGCAGCCGTTGACAAAGCTTTAGATGATGCTTCTGCTTCTTTGAATGCAGCCGTAAAGGCAGTTAATCAGACAGTAACTGACTTAGAAGGAAAAGCTCATGATGCTATTAATTTGGCTATGGACCCTATCAATGCTAAGCTGAAGGAATTGATTGAAAATGCTGAAAAACTGGGTAAGAATTACGTGTTGATGATAAAAATCAATCAAGATCAAACAAAACTAGGTCGAATAAAGAAATTTTAGTATTTTTTCTAAGCCAAAGCGGCTCAACTGGATCATTTTTTTTGTTGTGATATATCATTAAATTGAGTCCTGACATGAGGGTTGTAGAAATAAAACTTGAATCAAAATCAAGCAAAACTACTTCAAAACGATTTTTTTTGCCCATGGTTTATTTTTATTTAATTTGCATCAATAATAATCGAAATAGGAGTAATTGAGTCGAAATATTCATGCTTAGCTTAGGCTGTTCTTTCTAAAAAGTATCATCAAATCCAGAATCTAGCTTGCAATTTGTAGGAATTAACACAACCAAATGCGAAAAGTACATAGACGAGCTCACCGATCTACCAAACAAACTCAATGATGAAGTGGTAGAATGCATGACCGACGGATTATACAAAGCTGTAGGTTACGCAGATGATGTTCTAGACAATATTCAAGTAATCGAACAGGATATGGCCAATTTTACCAACAGAATTAAGGATTGCGAAGGAAGCATTTGGTCTGAGATAAAATGTTTGGGACTTTTAACCGCCGAAATGACAAAAGACAGCGTAGCGGTTCCTGTAAAAATTGCCGCAGATGTTGCAAAGACTGACTTATTGATTAAAGGATTGATTCCCAAAGTGACGCTGTGTTACACTACAGCGGTGGCCCAAGTTCCAATCCGAGGACTGGCACTTGTAGGCAAATTTGCCTTATGCACTGGACAACAAGATGCTTCCATGTATTGATATTTTTAAAAAACAACTTTAAATATATGATAAAATGAAGTTCTGATATAAATAAATAAATCCCCATTATGCGAAGCAGTGATTTTAGTTTGATGATTATATACGCAAATTAATTTAATAAATAGCTTAGCAGAGCGCTTTCGGCCATTGGTATAGGTACGTGGACGATTGCCTTTATTTTCCAAATTGTGATGCCGAGGGAGCGAGTCTTCTTCTGAATAAGTGGAACCCTCCACCCCAATATCTCCTTCACTTTGGAACTCGAGGTTGACGATAGATCAAATTTTCTTGATCTAAACATTCACAAGGACTCAAATGGATTACAATTCTCAATATTCAGGAAACCAACCCAAACTGATCATGTGATCCCTTTTCACTCTAACCATCCCGGCCAACATAAAATGACTGTTTTTTAATGCTACTCACCGTCTTCTGAGCATACCTATTTCCAAACAAACTTCATAATAAAAAATATATTTCAATCCCATTTATTAATCTATCTCTTAATATAAAAATCTCCAATATATTTAAAAAAAAAAGTGAAATACAAATCTCCTACACAACTAAAAATAACTTGGGCTCTTGCCTGGTCAACACGAAGGACAAAATTAAGAAACTAGCCAAAAGTGGTGTCTCTAAGTTGGAATGCGATTCGTGCAGTTGTTCTTATATAAGACGTACTTGTAGACCATTAAAGATACCAATCGCTGAACACTTAAGCGGGTCTAATTCGGTATTTGGTGAACATTTGAAATCCACGAATCACACGTTCAGTCCTGGGTCTGATTCAAATTCAAAAATTCTCCACCAAATTAGTGCCAAGAACTACAACCGCTGGAAAGTAACCCTTCTAGTTTAAATATTCAAGTTAACTTAAATAACTTTGATGTACTAGAGCTTGCTTTTCTAAGTTCTCGTCCTATTGTTGGCGAACACAGTCGATTTGGCTCCCGTTAGTAAACAAACGTTTTTATAACATTCCATTGTGCGTACTATCAGTATTTTTTGTCGGCACATTCAGCAGCGAATGTGCCTACATTTCCAATAGTTTTTCGTGCCAAATCCATACGTCGGGTAAGTGCAAGGTAGCACAGATACATAGATTTCGCCGGGGTTTTCGCCCCATCCAAAATTTGACCCGATAGGCCAAAACCCAGCCACCCCATATATTGCTAAGAAAGTCAGTAAACATTTTCCGCAAAGAAAAAGTAAGGGTACCTAAACACATCAAGGTACCCAAGGTCCCAACCATAAGTGAGGGCACGCACGTATAACGTGCTTTCAATAAAACACCAAGCGTCAAGTGAGGGGACGTCCGAAAGCCAGGGCTAGTATAATTTTTCTGTCCCAAACATAAGTGAAGGCACGCACTTACAGCGTGCTTTTAATAAAAGTGAGGGTTCGTCCTCAGCAAAAGTGAGGGGATGTCTCAGAAGGAGACGTTCCGGAAAAAAGTTGGGGCATCTCCCAAACAAAGTGGACGTCTCAAAAGTGAGGGCACGTCACTAGAGAGAAGACGTCTGCGAAAAAGTAAGGGGACGTCTCGAAGACAGGGCACAACATATTCTTACTAAACATATTTCTATCACAGAAATAAAAGTAAGGGGACCCTCAAAGACAAGAGAGATCCTATAACTTTTGCACAGGCAGATACCTATACCAAAAGTAAGGGGACCTCTAAGCACGAAAGCTCTCACAACTTTTGTTACAAGTGTGAACTAAAAGTGAGGGGACGATTTCCAAAAGTGAGGGAACGCCTCACAGACAGGGAGTCGCACTTTAACAAATAAGGGAACCCCGACTAAGACAAGTTGCCCATGCCCAATAATATGGACGGCGAAGAGTCGCCAAGCGACAACGAGAGCGTATGCTCCAATGCCTCTAACGCCACAAGAAGGAGCATACCCAAAATTAGGGCAAGACTACAAGCACTGGAGGGGGTGTATGACGATTGTGCCTCCTCCCTAAGATTTCTAGAAACAAAGCCTGAAGGGGAAGCTAGATCCACCCTTGATACCATTATCAGGCATATAAGAAATAACCATCGATCTATAGCCCCTAATGAAGTTAAGCGAAAGCTAACTGAAAGCCCAGGGGATCGAGCTGACAGCAGGAAGCTAAAAAAGGGTCCTGAAAATGCACCACCCCCTACTACAACTCCACGCTCACGTTTTGGAAGACTTTTCAACCTACCCACCAAAAACCGTTTTCAACCATTGGAGGTTGAGGAACCAGCCCCCGAAATCTCGCCACCCGATAAATCCCAAGAGGAAATCAGGGCTGAAGTCGCAGCAGCCCCACCAACTAAACCAACAACCACTGGCGAAAAGGCCCATCCCCCACCCATCGTTATAAGGGGAAGGCTTAAAGACCACAAACAGTTTATCGAGATGGCGGGAACTATTACGACCGAGCCACTTGAGCTGAAATACGCAAGAAGATCGGTCATAGTGTACCCAAAAAACATGGCCGATCACAGCAGCATGGCTCGGCATCTGACAAACGACGGGACTGAGTTCCATACTTATACCGTACCGGCAGAGAAACCTCATGCATTTGTAATGCGCCACATGAAGGGCAATTACTCCACTGACGAGATTAATAAGGAGTACCTCATCGACCGGTACGGTCTAAAGGTTAAGGAAGTTTTCCAAATGAAGAACACGGGGCAGGACAACCCATTGTACCTGGTAAAACTGAGAGCAAACGTAAGAACAGTTTTTGCATCCCGGGTACAATGGGAAGAACGCAAAAACATTAAAGACGTTTCCCGATGCATAAGGTGCCAGGCATGAGGACACACAATGACAGGTTGCCACCGTCAAAAGCGATGCTCAAAATGCGCTGAAGGGCACACAACGGCCGACTGCCCTAACAGGGATAAGCAGTCGGTCTGCGCTAATTGTCAAGAAGCAAAGCGGGCAATGTCCACCAACTGCCCGGTGTATAAGTTCCGGAAACAAATACTGGACGAAAGAAATGCCCCCAAGCCCACCTATGTACCTGCCCCAGCACCACTCGAACCAGCATGGGGACGAAGAGCACAAATATCCAGACAATCTCAGAGACCGCCACCAACGCAATCCACATACGAAAGGGACTTCCCAAGGGGAATAGTGCGGAAACGCGAGGTGCGCTATACCGCGTCAGATGTGCGCAAACCAGCAGTGCGCGAAAGAGTGCGCTAGCCAGTGGCGGTACGATCCGACCATCAAAACCCTAGTAACCTAGCCGAAACATTTACGACGTTTTAATCGAAGTTTGCCCGCCTGGATGCGCTGGTAAATATGGGCGGCATGATACGGGCATTGGACCATTATATTGGCATGCTCGAAAGATGCAATGACGACGCGGAGTTGTTTAACGCCAGCCACCAGTTCTTCTGCAACAACATCAAAAGGTTTCAGCTGAGTCGCGTTCAGGGTGGTCCAATGGAACGCTAACAGTCTCAACGGTAAAGTAGGTGAACTTATCCACTTCCTTCACCATGAGAGGATCGATATTGCCATAATAGTGGAAACTTGGCTAGACGATGGAGATCGTCTTGTGGTGAAAAACTATTCATGCGAACGCTCTGACAGAGCCGGCCGCCGCGCTGGCGGTGTGGCGATATTGATCAGGAACTCAATCGCATACAAGCGGATGCCACAATGGCCCAGTGCCATCGAGCACGTGTGCATCCAGCTTGCGAATGGCGTCCTTATCAGTGGCTGCTACAACGCCCCACAGACCCGTCTGTCAGTAGCTAACCTGACTCCTTTCTTCCCCAAAACCCGCGCTCCTTGCTGCTTGGAGACCTAAACGCAAGACACACACTTTGGCGGAATTATAGAAGAAATACCAACGGTATGATCCTTTATGCCAGATAGACCGGAGTTGATACTCCTTATAGTCCAAGAGGTGGCGCCAAAAACATGCAAGAGTTTTCGCAAGGCGGATATTTTCAAAATAGGTCGTACTTTAGTGCTAGAATGCTAGTGTACAGTCAGCACTCACAGTTCCGGGACAGCTGGCTCTGGGACGCGGGCAAAGTTGTAATTTTAAGAAGCATCTAAACTGTTTTCTCAAAGCTCAAAATTTATAGAAATTTTGCACATTATCTGTTTGAAGGTCACAGATAACGTATGTAAATCGTCAGATGTCTAGTTCGTTGCAAAAAGGGGGTCAGACGTCCTCAAAGTTTTTATTTTATGGCATTTTCTTCGGTGTCCTGTCAAAATATATTTTTGCAGGTATTTGACAAATATATTGGAAGAAAATGCCATAAAATAAAAACTTTGAGGACGTCTGACCCCCTTTTTGCAACGAACTAGACGTCTGACGATTTACATACGTTATCTTTGACCTTCAAACAGATAATGTGCAAAATTTCTATAAATTTTGAGCTTTGAGAAAACAGTTTAGATGCTTCTTAAAATTACAACTTTGCCCGCGTCCCTGAGCCAGCTGTCCCGGAACTGTGAGTGCTGACTGTACACTAGCATTCTAGCACTAAAGTACGACCTATTTTGAAAATATCCGCCTTGCGAAAACTCTTGCATGATTTTGACGCCAGCTCCCCAACTATTAGTACTGAATCGCCCACCCATTATCCTAGTAATAACATGACACCTACTTACATTGACATTGCAATCAGGACCCAGGGAACTTTTCGATCTCGTTACGATCAATGCCCTGAGTTCGTACTATCTACCCGTCTTTTTCACCTGGGGCGAGCTTGATCCTTCCCGCCCACAAGTTCGCCTAAGTTATTAAAACTTCAACTAGCCCCTGTTTCGGCAGACACTCAATACCCTAACCCAAGTTCCTGGTCAAATTGATACCATAGACGCTTTAGAGCAAGAGGTCTCAACCATGACCAGGAACGTCTAGCGTACCCAAACTTCTCTCGCCACTAGGGTGACTGTTCATCAAGGCCGCGGCGAGCTCTCTCAAGAGCTCATTGCACTCATCGCGCAGAAGAATCGTACCCGGAGAAGGTGGCAACGCCTCCGAAGGGACGAGGATCGCCAACATGTTCGAGAACTCGAGAGTGCCATCAAAGATGGCATCAGCGAGCTCAGGAACCGTAGATGGGCACAAACTCTAGACAACCTCCGTCCCCAAGATAACCCTTTATATGGCGCCTCACGTCAAGGATGAGGCGGCAGCCTGTGCGCACCTCTGCTCTTACTAGTAATAGCAGGGATTGCGTCACTGCCCCAGACAAGGCGGGAGCTTTGGCTTCTTTCTTGGAGAGCGTTCATTCCGGACTCCCTCCCAATTCTCCTGAACAGGAAAAAATCGAGCGTACAGCGACAGCCTTTGCTATTAAAAAATACCCCATCCCCCAGCACTTGCTCGCTGAACTTCTTGTCACGCCCGGCGAGATGACTCGAATTATCCGCGGCTCCCAAGCGAAAAGGCCCCCGGACCAGATGGCATCCCATATCGAGCCCTCAAAAATCTCCCGCGTAAAGTTATTGTCCAACTGGTACAAATAACTAACGCAATCCTAAAACTACAG